GCAAGTCTCACTGCGTTCTTTATGCATTTTATGCATTTTCTCCCATTGGATATTAAATCCCGATGTTGCTTTGTCAGGCAAATAAAATATTAGACAGCCAAAAGATAAGTTGAATAAAAAGATTTTTCGACATTTTGCTCAAGATTTTATTTTTATATTGATAAAATTATATAATAGAAAAAAAAATATATATATATATATATTTATACATATAATATATATAATACATAAAAATAAAATTTTGAGCAATATATACTCACATAAGAAACAATATTTAAATAAATTTTTGACAAAAAATTACAATGTTATTGTAATATGTTACAGCCATTACACTTTATATATATGTAATGTTAAATGTTTCGTATTTATAAATTTTAAATAAAATTACAAGATAAAATTTTTATTTTATTTTATTTTTGTTGTAATTCAAAAAGTAATTATCAAATAAATAAAAGCTAAATAAAAATTTGTCTTTAATCGAGAGAGTATCTTTTCGCGAGAAAGTATAATGCTGGACATTAAGTAAATCCTTTGGTTTGAAACTTTTCCAAGAATAGAGGGAAATTTAAAGCCCTTTAGATAGAAAGAAAAAGAATATCAAGTGTTCAGAAAAAGACACATATAAGCTTGACAGCCGGTATTATAATAATCCGGAATTAGTGTTGTATTCTATGTGCCAATTCTCTCAATCAGGAGAACTAGAAAAGAAGAAAGTATGAAAGTTTCGAAAAATACATTTTATTTGCCGACAAAACAACATCGGGATTTAATATCCAATGGGAGAAAACATACAACGCATAAAATGCATAAAGAACGCAATGAGACTTACAACATTATTTGCATAGCAAATACACGACGTCGCATATATGCAAAATATTTCTCCATTTTATAGTATATTTCACCTCAAAATATAATAAATTCACTGAAACATATTCGTGCATTGATTGATGATGATTCTTATATTAATATCGTAAAATTTCTCTTTTATTCTGGCTTATTTTATCCGGAAATTATATACTAATTTCCTTTATTGGATTGAATAAAAAAGACTTAACTAAATATCAAAAATAAAATTGAGGTATGAAGCAAATTGTCAATAACTGGCATTCTGCTGACGATGCTCAAGAATATTCGAAAACGTCAAAGAATCTCTTTATTCAACTTATCCTTTGGCTGTCTAATGTATTTCTGTAGTCCATAGGAATGAAACGGACCGTGAGATCGAATTGGAAGGTTGCCCAGAGACATGCCTAACGAACGTTACCCTAATAAAATCTTGGCCCTTTCCCTCTGGAGGGAGGAGTGGGTCTCCTTGAACGACATACGCCGGCACCACTCTTGCGTTTAGCCCGACATTTATAATTCAAAGCACCATCCTTTGCAGACCGGGTACGCCATCGCGCGTTGTGCGATGCCGTGCACGATGCAATTCGAGCCAAAACGTCTCTACTCGTATCTCCGAAATTTATTATTTTAATCATGGTGGTAAGAACCTCCGCGTACGACCATGCGTACTTCCACGCGCGGTCGGAAGGACGTAGCATCGTAAACCGTTAGTCGTTGCAGCGAGCAGCAGGCTACATTCACAGCAGACTTAAAGATAACAATCATATGCGATTTGATGTGACAACAATATTATTGTTAATATACACAACAATAATTATTTCAAATAATCTCTTTTTTAGAAATCCTCTTTTTTTGAGACACAAAGAATTTTTTCGCCTTTCGCCTTTCGCCTATATATAAATGAATGAAAAAAAAATGTTTATTTCTTTTGTTATCTTTCTTTCAAGAAAGCATCGCTGTAATTATTTCTAAAAGTGATAAGATATTACATGCGCACAATCGTGGGCGAGCTGGTTTTAATACATTGATACACGCCTTTGTTATTCTTTCCTTTTGAATAGGACAAATTGCTTAATTTACCCTTGTGAATCTACCTTTAACCGACCGCGGGCATCGCGGACGTTTTATGAGTTTAATTTGGGAAGCAGGCGGTTTCTCTCCGCGGTATGGGTTTCGGTTCTGGTGAAATTTACCAAGACATTTAGGACGTCTTGTGTAAGACCGAGATAGTCGCGCAGTGGCGTAGTCGCGGAATCGATAACTGCCTGCCAATTTCGCGATACCGGATATTAATTTATACGTAAATCTCTCCGCCGCAATTGAAATAATTCATACGTGAGCCATGATTAAAAGAAACGATGATATCGCTTCCCTTTGTTTCTTGAATCTCGCTCGCGTGCATAATAATCTTGCGAGCATTTAAAGTTCCGTCAAAGGGTCGTGACGCACAACGTGACGCTGTTGAAAAATAAAGCGAAGCAGGCGCAGAATTACGGGGAAGAATAGCTAATTTACTCGAGACCGAAGGACAACAGGATCGGCGAAACTTCTAGTCGGCATCCGCGCTTTCGCGACTGTCGTCACGAGAATGGAATAAAAATGAAAGGAAACAGGGACGAAAGGGGCGAAGGAAAAAAGAACGAGACGGTCGAGGGGGGAGGAACTTAATCCCCGAGGCCAGAGAAATTTCCTTCGCGTCGTCTATCGTTGTTCAGCCACTTTCCCGCTGGTATAATAACCCCCAGCGAGCGTCTGGGAAATTCTCCGAGTTAAGCTGCAGCAAGCTCTCCATTTTCGCCCACTCTAGAATCTCTCAACAGGTTACCTGAGGTCCACGATGAAACTTTAACCCCGCGTTTCCTCGGCTTCGAATCCGTGCCGAAAGCAGGCGAAACTTTGGAAATGAACAACGATGAAATCTATATTACGCTTTCTCATTTATTTGTTACTGTGAACTGATTGATTTGATAGAGAATTTGGTTTTATTCCAACTAATCTCTCTTCTTTATTAGTAAAACGAAAATTAACTTTTAATAATACTAAATCATAAATCATATTTTTCGATTTCGTTTTCGGAAATATTTGATGCATACACCAGAAATTTTTTACACAAAATATTTGACACATACACTAGAATCTCTGAAAATATTTTATTTAATAAAAATTAAATAATAGATAATTTAGCAAAATATTTGTTTATTATAGCATTACTTGCTTTTATTATTGACAAAAATATTAAATATTAAATAACATTCCTTAAATGTATAATTAAGGTATTAAGATAATTATTTTTAAAAAATCTTTAAATGCCCAAAAGTATTATACGCATAAGTAGTAACTTGCTTTTTCACGAAAAGTTATAAAAGTCAAAACACGCAAAAATACACGCATAAAATTATATATAAAATATAAAAAATATTAATTAATTAATATTAATGAAAATTTACTTTTTATAATATATTCTTCAACATTGTGATACAACCAAATGACGTTACTTTGTACATTTTATATAGTTATGCAGACAGGGAATGTTGGCCTACCTACGATCTTTTTTTCATTCTTATCTTCCTCCTCCACCTGTTCTTCCTCTTCAGACACGCTGTGGGCGACTACCATCGATTGAAGCAGTTTCTCGAATTCCTCAGGCTTGTCGCCATTGTGATTCTGCCGAGTCGGCATCATCTCGGTGGTTTCGTCGCGCTCTGCCGATTTTTCCGAGCCATTCGGGCTCGCTATGCTATCCTCAGAATCGGACATTCTCTTCTACACCCTCTATAACGATGTCTTTCAATGATGTCTCTAAAAAAACATATTAAAAACGTATTGCTTTACTTATTTTAATAAGTTGATATTGGAATATCAAGAAAAGAGAAAAAAATTTATGAAAAATTTCTGTGTTACATCTCACAAACATAATAATAAACACATATACGATATAATTATGTAATTTATTACATAATTATATCGTGACAATTTATACATACAGAATTTGTTATTGTACTTTTATTACAGTTTCTAAAATTTATATATACATCTGCGTGAATCTGAAGAATTCAATTCTTAAAGTCAGAAGTAGACACCCGCGAGAATAGCTTCGCGCCCTTTTGCATCACAACGGGAGTTGATAGATGCGATCAATGAGAATGATGCATGACGGACGATGAGAGAGGGTGAGGTAAGCGAAGGGTGACAGGAAAAGAAAGGAGCGCAAGCTCGCCTCGGGTGTGCGTAAGCGTGTAAAATTGAGCTATCCGCATTCATATCAGTCCTGCTTTACGACCGCGACAGTCCTCGCGCAGTGCCTCAATATTCGGATATTATTCGTAGGCGGCCTTCTCGCTGCTATCCTTCTCTTAAAATGCGCCAATACCGTCGTTTGCGGCAAAAGTCCTTCGATTATGCTGACATAGCTTGTTTCTCCATAGTTACTGTACCGCCACTCGCATTATCTTCTTCTTCTACTGCTTACACTTAACTTTTCCTAGGCAGATAATCTCCTACTTTCTTTTACAACAAAATGATCACGTCATCATTTTCCACTTTGGTTATTACCTGCCACGAGAGTAAAAATGCTGATTTTTTAGTTTATAATGTAATTCCGAAAATTTCTCATCAAGTTCAGCGAAACGTGAATAATTCATGATTATTGAAAATTAATAATTTGACTAATGTTCTGATCTTTTATAGCCTGAACTTTTAATATCTTTTAATATCTTTTAAAGATTGATGCATAATATTAATTCTTTACGTTATTTTAATTAATATTGTTAATTAAAAGACTTTAAAAGAGAAAGAAAGAAATAAGATTTAATAAGGTTTTACAGTTCCGACAGTTCTTAAAAGATTAACTTTGTATTATATTTAATTTTAAATTATCTTAATTAGTTATTTTTATAATGTAGAATTTTTTAAATATTTTTTCTATTATGGAGACATTTTTTCAACTGATTATAAGTTTTTTTTAAGTTTATATTTATATTTTTAAGTTTATAGTCCTATTTCGAATAAATTCTCACAGAATGCTTCTATCGCGATGAAATCTCACGACTTCCGATGACGTTTCATCACGATGTCTACCGCGTGCGTTCTTCTTCTACTTTTTCGTACACTTGTTGTGTCTTCCTTCGATATCTGCTGTCCCATCAAGCAGCATTTTATCTTCCCATTCTCCTGGACGCGAATTCCCATCATGTCGAGCGATAAAACGAGCAAAGAGAAAGAAAAAAAAAAGGAAACGAAATGGCTATATATTTCGATTCGCGAATGGAAGATTGTGAAAATTGCATTTCTTACGCTTTTAACTAGTATATAATACAAAGTATATAATACAAAGAAAACAATATCACGATTGTGTCTGCTTGAAGAAGTTTCCATGTACAGAAATAGCATCGTGCTTTACGAAGTATTTATTGATCCCAGGTATGTCTATTGACTTCTACTAACTACATGTGAATTATTCATTAAAATTTGCATTATTACTAAATTGGTGTATAATTTGCACGTGTTACCAAGTATAAATGTTAACAATATAGAAATGTGAGCAAATAAATAATAAAAGCACTAAAAAATAATTTCATGCCGATAATTAATCGAAAATAAACAATAAGATTTTGTAATCGTTTATAGAAATAATGAAATAAAAATAAATGTTGCATAACACACACACACACACACACACACAC